ACCTCTAGGATCATGTTGAGAATCTTGGTTAGGAGGAAAGGGATGCACAAACCGTCTAACAAATTCAGGGTTTGTAGCAAAGACCCGTTTAAACATGGTGTTCATATTCCTCAATGAAGCTTGTTTCTTGTGCTTCCCCTTTAATTGTCTTGAAATTTTCTCCACAGTACTTTTTCGTCGAATGTTTCGTTCTCCTCTAGGCCTCAATTTCTCTGGATCTTTAACATTCACGGCAGAAGATTTCGCTGTACAAGACGGTTCAGCTGTAGCTAATGAAGAAAAATGAGACTCTATCCGATCAGACATGGATCTCAAACATTCATCAGTCTAAACGACAGTTCAAATTGGCATTCCGACGCCACCTTGGATGTACATACATATCTGGAACTCTTTCGACATTAAAAACGATGTACACCCTAAGACAGTGGCAGCAAAGGAAACCAACCTCCGAAAACAAATCGCATGAACACCTAACCTCATGAGAAGTTGAGTTGAAATTTACTCGGTGCTTGAACACATCCACATTTGCCCTTTGAACATAGCATAAAACAACATTCCCATTATTTCCAATTCCAATACTTTGTGGTGCTCCAACGACTTCCATCTTGCACGAAATTGCAGCTATATACAGTTGCTCAAAATGAATATATGCTTCAATTGTGTACAACTCACGAACATTAAGGAGTAGAGAATCATTAGGGAATTGACATTCCACACGGCCATTGTTGCACCGAAAGTCATCTTTATTCTCCTTCTCTCTCCACTCCTCAAGAACTTTGACAAAATGAGAATAAAAGCCACACAATCGAGCAGTCTTGGGAAGTTTCGCTGAAATTGAGTTGTTTGTTGATTCACTCCTTTGGGATGAAAATATACCACCAGAGAAATGGGTTTTATTAAAGGCTGGACACCATTTGTGACGATTTGAATACAACCGCTTCAACCATTTATCATCAGCGCAATTGTATGTATCACACATCATGAAGTTCAAGAACAATGTTACATTATGAAATGAATATGTGTAATTGTTCTGAACATGTTCGTATAAACAATGAACATGTTCGTATACCTAAGGAATATGTTCATATACAAAATGACCATGTTTAATAACTAAATAAATATGTTTTTATACAAAATGAACATGTTTAAAAATAAATGAATGTTTTTGTATACCAGGGAATATGTTTAAAACAAAATGAACTTTTTCTACAAAAATAAAATCATGAACATGTTACAGTATGATATGAATATGGTTTAGTAATAAATGAACAATGTTTCAGTATGATTTGAACATGTTTAAGAAATAAATAAACATGTTGATATACGAAATGAACATGTTACAGTGCAAATGAACATGTTTCAGTATTAAAAGAACATGTTCAATTGTAGAATGAACAGGTTCAAATATAAATTGAATAACTCACTTTTTCCAATAAAAATCAAATTCCGGTATTGTGTCCGTTGATCTCAAAACCAAATGAAAAACATTGATGAAACCGGGCATTATCCGAAGATACTGAATGTGTTTTTTTGAATTCTCGCCAATATGCCAGGTGCATAAGCGATGTCGGGATTGCGTTAACACCAATGGAATTGCAGCTGCCATGGCTGCATCTTCATCGGTCATTATTGTGGCGGGCTGCTTCCCACCCATTGACTTCAGAAATTCATCCAACAACCACTTAAATGAATCCTTGTCCTCATGAAACAAAAAACCAACACCAAACATAATGTTTCTCTTGTGATGGTTCATCCCTGTAAATGGAGCACATGAAAGATTGTACTTAACTGTCCTATGAGTAGTATCAAATACAACTAAATCACCAAACACCTCATAATCCTTCTTCATGCGAGAATCCCTCCAAAAAATGGAATACAATGATGTTGTTTCCTTATTCAGATCATAATTAAAATAAAATCCATCTCCCCGGGCCTGTATTTCTTTCAATATATTAAGTAGGCCATTTGCATCACCACCTTCCCAAATTCTCCGTTCAAGCTTTGCAACGTGGTTACGGGCATCAACTATTGTATAAGGCATATTTTGAACACCACGAGCTTGATCCGAAAGAACCCTATAACCAGCGGTAACACCAACTCCACTAGCTTTTAATTGTGACAAATATGCTACATCATTCGAAGGCATATCCCTGTGAGAGCGAAAATAGCGGGCTTGATTACATGGAACTAACTCATGGTTGTGTTGATCCACTTCTTGCTCCACTATCCAATTAGCACCACAAAAAAGAAGCTGAATCATTGCCTTGCAACCAACCCGCGTTTCCAATTTTGTATAACTCCTCTCTTTGCCCACTTTGCTTTTAAACCCTTGTTTATTGCAACAAAATTGTTTGCGATATACAATATCATCCTTCTTCTTTCTTGACCTGAATTTTCTAACTCCAAAACCATGTCTCTTCGCATATGAATTGTAGAATTCATAAGCATCTTCCAAGGAATTAAATTTCATCCCAAGCAATTTTTCATCATCGATCTCTACAAAAATATGAATATGTTCCGTTAAGAAATGAATATGTTGAGTTAATAAATGAACATGTATATATTCCATATCGAACTTTTCCAAAACAGTGAACAAACAACTATTTAATATATGAACATGTTCAATAACTAAATGAACATACATATATAGAAAATGAACATGTGTAAAAACAAAATGAAATGAACATGTTAAAAACCAAAATGAACTTTTTCTACAAAATGAAATGAACATGTTTATATACAAAAATGAACATGTTTATATGAGTATCTTGCATTATGAAATGAACATATGTGATTGTAGAATGAACATATTTTCTGAATTACCTGCGCCTTCACCCGTTTCAACCACATAATTATTGGCTTCATCAATGGATATTACCGCGATTTCATTACAATCATCATGTTCATCGTCTTCATCAATCAATATTATAGCGGTTTCATTAAAATGAACATGTTCATCCTCAAATAAAGAAATTGTGTAACGCCCCGTATTTTATTAATAAAGGAAATACTAGCTTTTAGTTTTAAGCTAGCCTTTATTAAGAAATAATCACGTTCATGTTCAAGTTCAGGTCAATCAGTCAGTTAAATTCCAAGTTCGACTATTAGTCGATAAATTATTCGGTTAATTATTTCAGTAACCGGATAAGTTGTTAGATTTAATTCCGATTCATTAATGAGTCTGGAATTAATTATTCAGTCAGCGATACCCTGTCATGTTAATCATGTTTTTAGTTCCGAGAATAATAATATGTTTGGATATTATTTTCGGAATTAAATTAATTATTTCAGTCTTTTCAGTCGGGATTACCGAAAATTATTTTCAGCGTACCGTTTACATTCGGAATAATTTTGGTAATTAAGTATTATGCTTAATAATTAATTAAGCATAAGCAAGTGATTAATTACTAATTAATCACAATTAAGGGATGATTAACCGTGAGTTTAAGTTATAGTTCCTAATAAAATTTCTAAAGCCGTATGGCATTAAGCTAGTGATGTCCAAATAGTGGTAAGAAAATTTCCTCTTCATTAAGTTATTTACGTGGCTTGTTAGGAGAGTTTCTTGATGACTAATCCTAGTTCTAGCCTTTAGTTTTCTAGCAAGTGTCAAGCAAAAATAAAGCCACCAAAGTGCTACATCACCACAAATTTCCGATCGGTTTTCTATATAAGTGGGGGTTTGGAAATTGTTTTCCCACCTTCCTTAAGAGTATGAAGTCTTATGCCACCTATATCTTCCTCCTAAAAATATGTTACCATCAGCAAGTATTAAGTGGAAACTGGAGCACCGTACGCATAAGTACCGCACGCACACTCCTACCCCACGGCAAGAGCTAGATCGCACCGAGAGCTTCCCTTCACCGGAGGTGTAGTCAAGCGAGGATTTCAAAGGTAACACCAGCTTACCTTTGAATTGATTATGTTAAGGATAAATTAGTTCCGTCGAAGTCTTGTTCATGTATCGGCCTTAAGCCGTGCGGTCGCGTGTAGGGTTCATGTCAAGCCATCATGTTTTATTTCTGAAACCCTTCGAGCAAATAGATTTTATTTAGCTAAGTTATATGATATCATGTTCAATTACCTTATGTTACCCGATGTATGTTCATGTTATTTGGAAGTTCGGCCGGGAGGCATGGTCGCACACGTCGTGCACCCAGGGGCCGAATATAGTATTAGATTATGCCAAGGAGTAAACTATCGGGCTTTTCATGTCTATGTATTTATAAATGTCATGCCATGTTCAGTGAAGTATGAGTTGCTGAGGAATAAGTTGAGTCGGTCGGGTGACGGCCTATCGCCGTCGGCGGCGCACGGCGCGCTCGCCACGGCCCATTCAGTCGATTGTGCGAAAGATTATATTTTCAAGTGATTTCAGCAATTATGTTCATGTTGAGTCAGATTATGTGTATTGAGGTCAGAGTGCACGGGAGTTATTGCCGGACGGCCGGCAAGGGTCGGTCG